TGGTGCGATGATCACAGAGCGAGACAAGAAAGGCGAGGCTCACCAAGCCATTTATCTCTCTGCCCTTCAGTTAATCCCACTTGTGTTTATCAGCCAGGCTGGCACAATAAATTATCTCATCATTATATGAGGGGGTAGCCCCACCCCCACAAAAAACCCAGAATCTCCCCCAAGCTATGTATTTAAATTTTTTTTTTAAAAAAACAAAACAACCTCACCTTCCAAGTACTCTCTATTACACTTAATACATTTGTCAAATCTGCGATTCTATTCTTGGAAACATTTTTTCAAACTCATCTGTTTGGATGGTTGACAGCACCTCTGTCGTGTTTTTTCTTCACCTAGTCCTCTTTGTCAAATCGCTGTCCTTTCATGACCCTCTGCATTTGCAGAAACGAATGGAGCAAGGTCAGGTGAGTCAGGTTTGTGGGGCAAGAGAGGCATGTTGATTTTTGCCCAAAACTGACACACTGAGATGGCTGCGTGAACGGGTGCATTGTCATGGTGGCAAAACTAGTCTCCCGTCTGCCATAAATCAGGCCTTTCTTGCTGAACACTGTTATGCTATCTTTTCAGAACCTCTAAATAGAAAGCTTGATTAACAGTCTGACCTGGTGGAACAAAATCCAAATGTACTACACGTTGACATTTTTGTCTGTTTGGGAAGTTGACAGATGTCCAGAATGAGGTTTTTGACATTTTACCTTGTTTGAAATGAAAAATGACTCATACACCTGAGTTTTTCCCACAATGCTGTCCTTGTAAACTGTGTTCAACATCACAACAGTTTCTGCGGCATTTTTCCCAAACGGGAAACAAAATTTCAAAGCTGCACACTGTTCTCTTAAATCGGCCATCACAGAAAACAAAGTTTGAGCGAAACTGCTTTTATGAAAAAAATCCACTGTGACCAGAGAACCTTCCCAGGCAACGTTACTAGGTGCACTACATTCAGAGTAAGTTGCTCAATGCTTGCCTGGTGGGAAAAATGCACTACAAAATCTGCCCAATGCAATTCTGGTTTGTTGGTTTTTTTCCTGGTACCTCCTCGTATTCTGACAGATTGGTTCTATAAGTGAAAATGACAGATGAGATTTAAAAGGATTAAGGTAAAAGTAACTCGCTCATATTCTTTGAAATATTGACACCAGTTTCTGTTGCAATTACTATTTTTACTGTTTTCAACCTGCTCTCTGTCCTGGTCAACTGCTGAATTACCCTTTGGAGTGAAGTACGGACAACTGAACAATCCTGCAGACGTGTTAAGGACTTACAATCCATCTAAATAGGACTCACGTGATCTAAGATGGGTACTTTTTTTATTTCACAATGATGTAATTTTGGTCCCTCATAAAAAGCAATCAGTTAAAATTCTAAGATTTTTTCACATAAGTCTGCTGCCCACCCATGCATGTCCCATTCTAAATGATTTCCATTGGTTTTTTAACATTTTATTATCATCCCTTCTGCCACACTCAGCAGGAAATCACTATTCGGAATTTGGTGTTTTCCATTCCTTACTCTACAACTATGTATGTGTGAATTCTATAACAGCACCTAGTACTGTTTCTATGTCTTACAATTTTATAAACTGCTACCAGAGCATTATATTTATTTATTTATTTATTTTTTAGAGAGTGAGGCAGTGAGACAGTGAGAGAGCGAGGCAGTGAGAGGGAGTGAGGCAGTGAGAGAGAGTGAGGCAGTGACAGAGAGTGAGAGAGTGAGGCAGTGAGTGAGTGAGGCAGTGAGAGAGAGTGAGGGAGTGAGTGAGTGAGGCAGTGAGAGAGAGTGTGAGGCAGTGAGACAGTGAGAGAGCGAGGCAGTGAGAGGGAGTGAGAGAGTGAGACAGTGAGTGAGTGAGGCAGTGACTGAGAGTGAGAGAGTGAGGCAGTGAGTGAGTGAGGCAGTGAGAGAGAGTGAGGGAGTGAGGCAGTGAATGAGTGAGGCAGTGAGAGAGAGTGTGAGGCAGTGAGAGAGTGAGGCAGTGAGAAAGTGAGAGTGAGAGTGAGTCACTGAGTGAGGCAGTGAGAGTGAGAAAGTGAGGCAGTGGGAGAGTCAGGCAGTGAGAGAGTAAGGCAGTGAGAGAGTGAGAGTGAAAGAGTGAGGCAGTGAGACAGTGAGGCAGTGAGAGGGAGACATTGAATGAGTGAGAGTGAGTCACTGAAAGAGTGAGTGAGTGTGAGTCAGTGAGTGAATGAGTGAGGCAGTGAGAGGGAGACAGTGAGTGAGAGTGAGTCACTGAGAGAGTGAGGCAGTGAGAGAGAGTGAGAGTGAGTCACTGAGAGAGAGTGAGAGTGAGGCAGTGAGAGAGTGAGGCAGTGAGTGAGTCAGGCAGTGAGAGGGAGTGAGGGAGTGAGAAAGTGAGGCAGTGAGACAGTGAGGCAGTGAGAGGGAGACAGTGCCAGAGCACATTTTTTTGTAACTTGCTTTATCTACTAAATTTGCTTGAGATTTGTAATCGGTCATAAGCAAAACTGTTTTTACAATTTCAATGTATGTAGCGTTTCATTATATAAATATTCCCCAATTTGTGTCCATTCTCGATGATGCCATGACGCAATCTCATGTGCTTCAGAGACGCTAACAGGAGAGACCAGTCCATGAAAAGGGCATCATGTTTAGCACAGGAGACGGTTGGGAAAAGGAAGACCTTCAACAAGATGAACTGACACCAGGGCTGCAACAGTGGGCTCAAACATACACCATTCTGAGAATGGTGGCGGGCTGGGTAGGGTTGTCATATGAGTTAGAGGTAACCTGGATGTCACCTAACAACACAAGCAGTGCTATGCAAAGCATGGTTCCCAGACTAGCTCAGGAGCTGTTACTCATCTTCAAAGAACCACACAGCTTACGCCAAAATAGAAACGCACTCACTTCGTTAATAACTACACTGTCCCACCTTCACACCAAGACTTCTTCCATGAAGGAAGCATGCATTCTGATGCAAGTTCTCTTCAGCCCTTGGACTCGAACTTTGAAGAGCAGCACTGTCCTCGAGCACAAAAACAAGAATTTCAATGGGGCAAATACAAGGGAGCTTCAAAAAGTGAGTGAAAAATCCCATTATCCTTTAATTCCATTTCTCCATGAGCTTTTTGAAGTCCTCTGGTACTTAGGAATGAAAACTACTGGGTTGCAGGATGTGTACTAGGTATGCCTGGGTGGCATCGACACTTAAGCATTCAACTACTCACTCAAGATTGCCAGTCCAAACCCCCCAAAGACAGCCCCTGTGGACAGGTCTGCTTGAGTCAGGTCATAACCTCAGCACTGTGCAGAGCAGCTCTGAAACCAAGCAACTCTTCATGGCACCTGGGCATCTAGGGTTATTTGCTCTGAACTGACTTAATAATTTTGGCCAAATTCTGTATTTTGATTTGCTTTTTCCTTAAAGATTTGTTGAAAATAACTACCGAGGTATTTTTACTGTAAT